ATTTTATTTTCAAATACTTATTTCTGTTTGTGAAATAAAAATAATAATAATACAAAAAAAGTTAAAAATAAATTTTGCAAACCATTTTTTTCCCAAAACGTTTGTCCCTGAGGGACTATTGTTTTCGTTTCATTTTGCGTCGAATTACACTAAATGTCTGTTTCACTTTTCAAACTGTTGTCACCGAATGTTATCGCCCCGTGTTAAACTTGAAGAAATTGAATAATGAATGTATGTTTCTCACATTGTGATAAAACAACGAAACCTAGAGCCATCGAATCTTGAATGACGTAATTCTGCTGCGAATATGGGTATGTGGAAGTTCAAATTTGAAATTTGTTTTATTATCGATTTCATATTTTATAAAACTTTAACGAATTTTTGATTAACAAACTCAACGATCTGAAAGCTAGCATTGGGAACACTCTACGGGAAAAAAGAAACCTTTTTATCTCCAGCGCGCGGAGTTGCGTATCACAAATTCTAAAGATATGCTCATTTTATTGTTCACATTTTTATTTTAAGCTGCACGACGTTTCTGGCTGTGAGAGGGGAACTTACCTTATATTAGACTAATTTTCATTTTCATATCACAACCTGCATTTTGGACATCATTGCATTATGAACTTTACTGGTAATCATGCTTTCATAAAATGACTTTTGAATGATACATTTTTTCCTCTGTTATGAATGTCTATTCATATCATGTTTCATTAAAATCTGACTAATAATTTTTCAGAAACTCGACATAATGTGCAAATTCTCTTAACTGTGCTCACGAGCGTGTAGAGTCATAAGATTATTTTGACGCAGAAGACATAAAATAAGACTAATGCCCTCTCGGGACTCGAACCTGGACCTTTATAATATACGCCGAGTGTGCCAACCGTTTCACCACGAAGGCATGCAGAAAGGACGGAGAGAATACCTTATAAGTGTACGTCTGTAATTATAAGGGGGGAGTTAAATTTGTTATTAGCGTTATCACATTTCAATTAAGATTATGTTTGATAGATGGAACTCGAAAAATGAGTGAGAAAAATTAAAAAACTTATAATACTTTATATATATATATATATATAACAGTATATTTTCAGTTCTAGAAAATCGTTTTCTAGAATGCTCTCGATGTTGGTGGCGGTTCAATGACAGTGTTCTCGTCGAATTAAAAAAAATACCTCGGGCTATATCGTGATTGTTTCAAACGATTTGGTGAACTTTTTAATGTTCGTGTTTTTTAGTATTTCTTCACTTTCGAAGGAGAAAACTCTTTTAGCAGAAAGCAAATGCCAATTAACACAATCCATTCATGAAATTAATTTTTCGAAAACCATTCTCTAAACAACCATTTCACAGGCCATTATTTTTGGATAAACATTTGGATCAGGATTCATTTACCTTTTAAATAACACTTAAAAGAAAAACATGTCATTAATAAATGAAAATTTTGCATTCAGCGCAGTGTTATTTTCATTTAGCAGTCACTAGGCTCGTTTTCGATTAAACAGGACGTTTCTGCATTAGACCATGTTTACGAAGTGTTCATATTGATTGAATAAATAATCCTTTCACTTTTCTGTTAAGGAAACAAAACTAGATATAAGCCTTGTTTAAAATTTGACTGGAGGAGCTTTTTAGAATCCAGCTTTTCCAAGTTAAAAAACTAAATTACTTCTTCACAAGAGTCTTATGTGATTTGTCCTTGACTTGTGCATCGAAAACTTAGATACTAACTTTACGTGATGAGAAAGCGTTGACGATGGGTTCGTGTGAATGGATCGTGGTGAGGATCTAAAACTATACAACTACATAATCTGATGTAGTAAAATTCTTTAAACGACTGAAAGATCTTCATGGTTTCTAGCCAGATGACGGAGGTAGGTCATCTGGCTAGAATCCATGAAGATTGGTGTTGTAAGAAAATCTTTCTGGCAAAGCCCGTGGGAACAAGATGTTGGGGTATATCCGCAGTGAAATGGATCGATTGTGTTGAAAATGACCTAAACATTCTAAAGGCTAAATAATAATAATAATAATAGTATTAATAAATAAATAAATAAATAAATAAAAACAATTGGAAAATAGTTGGAAAAAGCAGAGATGCCTGGATAACGCTAGGCTCACATTGGACGAGAGAAACTTGAGCAGCATATGTCCCATACTACATGACACACGACAAATCCTTCATATTGTTGATATATTAAATTCAATATGTCATGTGCCCTATAGTATGGGACACATGATACTAATATGAAAAATTAGCTATGTCTTCGCCGGTCAAACCACAGATCAAGTGGATTCTTAGTCGGACGTATTACTATAAGATATTTCTCCCACCTTCTTAGCATGCCTTCATGGTGTAGCTGTCAGCACGCTCGACGAGTATTCGAGAGATCTGTGGTTCGATTCCCGGCAAGGGCATTGCTCATTTTTCAGGACTTCTTTAACTCGTAATATCTCTACATCACGAGTTAAACAAGGTAACGAGCCATTGTGATGAACAAATTTCGCCTAAGTAATCGGTTTTTAAACAAATATTTAGGCGTGGTCTTTTCAATTAATTTTTTTTTCCCTTTTACGTCGAAAACGTGATTAATTTCAAGAGACTACTGACTGGAAAAAATGAGCTGCCGAATAATTCAGGGTCTACGAAAACGAACGGTGGGATTTCAAGAGGTTTCTATGAAGTTCGTACTCTGCGAAATAGACTGAAATTGCGTTTGTTTAATTCGGGCAATCAAACAGGTTATGCACATGCGTTTAGCTACAACTGCTCAATCTGATGCTCTGAAAATCCTTGTGTGACACATGAACACAAGTGAGATTCTTGTAAGGTCAGTGTCTGGTGGTACCTGATGACAACAAGATATATATATATATATATATATATTCTTAATGTCAGCTTCAGTGTGTACTTGCGCATGCTACAGATCTTTTGTGATCTGAAATCAAGCAAATAAAAACAGAAGACGCGAAATTATAGATCTTCTTTAAAGTGGACGATTGACTCTGATAGTTTGACCACCACAACCGCAATCAAGAGCACAAACGCTCATGCGTCATTCGGACCGATTTCCATGTTTATTTTCGCAGAGTTCAAAGGGCACAGAATTAAGGCAAAATTACTTTTAAAGTAATCTAAGCATTTTATCATTTTTGATTAACTTTTTCACTACACTGTGTTTGATTTTGTGCATTTATTTATTTATCTATATACTGGTAAAAATACGAGTGTTTTCGAAACTTAATTTTGCTATGCGTACATAATTTAATCGTAAACTGTGATAAATAATTGTTATCGCATAATTATTTGCATTACAATTACCCAATTGTTACATTTTACTGTATAATTTTCATTATATTATTCGCACATTGAGTTCTAATAATATTATTACAATTGATTATAACAATTTTACGATAGTAAATAAGTATTAAAATTGATAATTATTACATATATCTTTTATCTTCGAGCTTAGACGTACATATGTTACCGCGAAAGACCGAAATTCGAGAATGTCGACTTTCACCGGAGAATGTCAACATTCGCCAAATACGTCGGCGAAAGATCGAATATTGCATTACATTCTTGTATATTCGGATCCTCACCGGTGTATGTCGACAATCACAGATATGCTCTGGTATAGTTAGAAAAGTCAGGAGTATAAGTACACGCTGTCATTGCAAAAGGAAGTGTTCCACAAATAAATACAATTGTAAAAGCAAGGGCCTCTTGTGCAATTCAAAGTATCATAATAGTTTAAGTTGTTGCAATAAATAACATTTGAATCACATAATTTAATAAGTTTTAAACTTCTATTATTTTCCTTTCTCATTTTGAATGTACAGTGTGTTTTAAATTCTTATGTTCTGAAGTTCTTATTTTAAGTCTCAAGTGCGTTTTTTCGCGACTGAATTACGGAGAAGAAAATATAATATTGTTATATGTTCAACATTCACCATTAGTACATGGTGAATGTCGACATTGACCCGTGTAAGTCAGAAATAAGAGTATTTGGAAAATATTTCGGACATACACCAAGCGACTATGTGAATGTTGACACACTCAACGGTGAAAGTCGACATTCTCCAAATTTCGGTGTTTCACCGTAACATATTATTACGAAATGTACAGGCGCGGTGAGATGGTTTCCCCGCAAAGCAGTTTTAGGGTTGCCATAAAATAGCAAGGGAAGGTAGGGTTGCCATATTTGGCGAGAAATCGCCCGTTTGGCAACATACAATGTATGGTTGGAGAACTTTCTGGAACGAATTCTTACCAGTTTAGCCCAGAATGTTCTCGAACACAAGCCGAAAGCTATATAAACCCTGCTGGCCCGCAGTCAGTTAGTGTGCGCTTCATCGAGAGGGCGAGTCAGAGTGCCTCATTTAGAGTGCGATTTAGTTAGTATCGAGTTGGTGTCTCGTCTAGCGAGTCAATCCCTGCGGAGTCGATCGAGTTGACAGCCGGGCAGCGAGTGCCGAATGGTCGTCGAGTGCACCGAAAGAGTCTCGTAGTGTATGTGCTCTGGAAACTTCGAAAATGTGTTTTCGCGAATCTTCTAGAAAGTCGCCAAGTTGACGAGAAATCACCAACAGTCGCCTTAAGAACGAAATTGCCTGTATGGTGGCTTCTGATTGAGTTATTTCCAACTATTTTTGCCCTGCGTGTGTTAGTTACTGAGTTTATTTTCCAATTAAATTGCTCGTAATAATATGTCTTTTTTTCTAGTTGCCATTTCACATATCCGATTCAGTACGTTAGTTATTGACATAGCTAACCTTGTTCTCCATAGCTCCCGACAATAATTTATTTATTTAATTTTTTTTTTTTTTTTTTTTTTTTTTTCCCCTTTAGAAATTGTTAGATGTAACAACGAATTATCTGAACTAAATGGAAGAGAAGGAAGGTTAGTAACGCTGGGCTTTTGTTGACGCGATCAGTTCTTTTTCCTTCCTTTTTTAAACTGATTTCTGCTGTTAATGATGAAAATGTTACTCACGATTCGACTAGATTCGGAATTGTTCGCCGTTTTGGCACTGCCCAATGACCTCAAGACAGTGAAAGCTGCGGCCAGATGCTTGAAGGCGTCCGTCTCGGGTCCACCCCCGGCCACGTCGAAGAGTTGCCTGAGAAGAAGCATCGAGGAATAAGTCTTGCCGCTACCACTCTCTCCGCTGAAACAAAGCAGAACAATAATAACCCTCTTTCAAAGATAAATAAATGCAAACTTCTTACAAAACTGTTAGAACTAAAGCAAGTAAAATAATTTATCACAACATAAATAACTATAATAAATATTCTTCTTATCTATAATTCTGTTATGTCTCTAAAAACTTATCTGAGCATTGCTGTGGAAAGTTTCAGTTATGTTGTGAAATAAAACAATAAAAACAATGGGTCTACCCTCATTTTATTCTTCACTTAAGGGACTTTGTAACATTTTAATGTTTTTTTATTATTATTATTTAAGAACTTCCATCTTATTTTTGTAAATAATATTAAGTGGTTTTTTATAAGACAAGTAAATTTTAAGCTCAAAAAAAATTTTTTTTTTTTTTGGCTAGTAATTTTTTAAAATTTTCTGAAGAAATTTTAACAATTAAAAATACTTTGTTCTCGCACAATTTTCAATGTTTTTGCTTCCATTTTTTTCATTGTATTTATTAGTGTTCTTAATAACTTTTAAGGAGATCGATTTTACAATTAATGAATTATTTTCTGAGGAAAAAAAAAAAAAAAAAAAAAAAAAAAAAAAAAAAAAAAGTTAAATTTTTGTGTAACCACTTAAAAAGACATATGATCTCAATCTCATTTTCTCTTCCAATAATTTTTTCACAATTTTGCAAAATCCATCCTTGTTTCTATTAAGTATATAATTTTAAGTAAGCGGTAAAAATATTAAATAATTTAGTCCATACCTGTACAAGTTTTAGGACTTTGCGTAAAAGTAAAGGTTTTATTATATATATATATATATATAATAAAACCTAGTGCTGTTCAATTGGTTAATATAAATATAAAGTATGAGTTTTTGTTTAAAACCTTATTTGGCTAGAAATATTGCAAAAAATTATAAAATGCAAGTAGAATTTTTCTGTAACTCTTTTTGTTTTTTAAAACACGCTCAAAACAATTTTAATGCATGAATTAATTATAATATATTTTCTAAAACACTTATAATCAATATTAATAATATTAATGTGTCGTTTTATTTATTTTTTCAAAAAGCAAAATTTGAAATTTTAACAGACATAAAATATGAAGCTGCTGAGTGATTATTTAAAACCACTCAGCAGCCTATGTGATTTCTTCTCATCTTTTAGCCATTTGTTCTCGTATATAAATTGCATTTTAAATTAACCTAGGTGTATTTTAATTAATTAAAATGTTTAATGTTTGTTCCAGCACTATTTCGATAATGCTACAGTCAGGAACTCGCTCGTTTTCATTACATCACCACTTTTTGTTCGTGCCTTATCACAACTTATTTCAATTTTTGAAGAAGCATTGCAAAGCTGACTGATAATACACGTAGAAATATTTGCCGGGTAAAATATACATATATGTATAAACTTGCCAGTTTAAAGGTGAAAAAAAAATTTTTTTCCAGCTCCACTTTATATTACAATTAATCAGTTTACACAAATAAACAGAGTTTCCTAAACGCTTAGGGGGGGGGCGGCATTTAAATGGCTGTCAAAAACTTTAAAAGCCTTTTTATACCATTAATAATCGTCGGATCATTTCAAAATTTCTCTTCAGTGTAGTAAGAGTATTAAGGTACTTTTCTAGTCAAAAATTGAAAAATGGGTAATTTCATCGATTTAGGGGTACTAAGTTCCCTTAATTTCATTTATTCATTATTTAATCTTATCGCCAAGTATCTAACTGTCAATACAACTTTAATGTTGGATTTATTCTATCCTTTTTAATCCTCCCTTTTCATTTCTACTTATTTCATACCGCAGGAAGTTTTACGCGTTCGCTTATTCGTTCAATTTTAGAAAATCGGGGCTTACTCAGTAAATCGTTTATTCACGGAGCACCCATCAGGCATAAAACCTTAGAGTACTGCAAAATATTCCCTTAAAATTATTTAGTTCAGTTACAGTTACTTTTTCAGTTACAGTTAGCACAAATGGTTCCCATTCTCGAAATTTCAAATCGAGAAATATATTTCGTAAACATTACACACGATGAAGAAATAGTGTTGTAGAAATCGTTGAATTTTCAACAAGTAATATGCTCATAAAACGTATGTATGTTAATTGAAAGAGCAGTTTAATGTTGAGATAACTTACCTGAGTATGATGGCTTGAGGATATCCGGTTTCGCTTTGTTGCCGGACCGCCTCGTGAACCACTCTGAGCAACTGCGGACAACGTGACGCTGCGTGAGCGCTGCTCAGCGTGAGAGGGTTGCCCACGTCCTGGTACGGGTTTACGGACAAGAGAATAGGACCTACGTTTGTCTGCAAAGGAGAAAAGTCAATTTTCAGAAACGAACAGTTTCAAAAATAACATGGAAAATAAGAATTGAAAACATTATACCGTATTTCCCTCTTCCTTTTATAACTAACTGTATCGTCCAAAAATCGAGAGGGAAAATTACGTGAATAATTTGATTCACGAAGAACGCGGCTACAGTAAGAACATAAAAATTAACAAGCAGTCATTCACAAGTACTCATATTGGGGTATATTACGATGTTGCTTCTTTACCAAAAAAACTACATTCCCATAAGAATACATAGTAATATTATCATGGCAATATCTGACGAAAATTGAGCCGGACACTGGCTCAGTTACCTTGTAAAGACCCAGAGGCACCTCACACGAAAGAGCAGTTCCCGACAGGGACATCGAAGGAAGGAAAGAAAAGGGGGCCGAACGGAAGATCGCATCTGCAGCAGATTAAACTACAATGAGCTGGAAAGTAATTAATAAAAGTAAAATGGTATCATATGTCTGGAAAGCATCAGACATTTTGTCCGGGCGGCTTAACGAAAACTCTGCTCAAAATATAACGTATTTCTTCCGCCTTCTTAGCGTGCCTTCGTGGCGTAGTGCTCTGCACTCTCGGCGCGTATTCCAGAGGTTCGTGGTTCAAGAGGTTCCCGGCGAAGGTATTGCTCATTTTTCACATCTTTTGCTTCGAAATAACCTAATGTCTCTACAGTGGCGCCCGAACTAAAAGGATGATTTGGATGATGATCCTCCAAAGCCAGGATTCGGGGATTGGGTTTCCTAAAACTAAAGTCGCTCTTTAAAGGGGGGAGTACATAAGGTATTTCTCCCGCCTTCGTGGTGTAGTGGTCTGCAAGCTGGGCGCATATTCCAGAGGTCCGTGGTTCGATTTCCGGCGAAGGCGTTGCAAGTTTTTCATCTCTTCTGCTTCCAAAAAATACCTAATGTCTCTACAAAAATACGTTTAAAATAATAAATGCAGGGAAAAATAAAATGAGTGAACTGTCAGTAGAAATTGAATACAATGAAAGAAAATGAAAATAATCAAGGGAACACAATTTACCAATAAACTAAGGCCTCAGAGAGAAAACTATGTACGAAAGAGGAAGGAGAAAATTACGCGAATATTTTTTTAATTTTCAGAACCTGGAGCGAAAAAGCTAGAGGAAAACATACGCGAGGCAATGTGGTATTCCAAAATATTGTTAAAATATTTGAAGTGAGATAAATCCACTTCAACGTTGAAAAACAATGTTAAAGTAAGTTACCGATTATAAAAAAATAGTTACCAAAAATGAAGAATGGTTATGCATTGACTTGCTTAGAAGACAAAGGAGTGTTAGGGAGAAAATAGTTAATGGTAACTTGCATAAACAAAACAAAAGATGCAAATTTAACGCTTTCTGTTGTCTGGAAGCGTGTAAACAGCACAACGTTAAAACGTTTGGCAGAAATTGTGGCCAAATGCCATGAAATAAAAATTCTGTGGAAGAAAAGAAATGTTATGGATAATCGGATAACCAATCATTCTGACTTACCGAAGCTGAAAATTTCATGATTTTTCAATCTGCTAAGAGACTGACAGGTATGGAATTTAGCAAGATGCATGTTCCAGATTCGTGCGTAACAGCCAGGGTAAACGTTTGACAGTGTCTCGTGGGCATAACATCCATTATTCTCATCGTGATCAAGATGTGGCATCATTCCATCTTTTCACCGGACACGATTGCCTCAATATGGTTATCTCTTTCGTATCAGGTTCAGAAATTCTGCAGTGTGTTCTTTTTGCGACTCTGGACAGCCTGTGGACAAAGAACGTTTAAACACTGCAGCGTGTTCTCTTTGTGACTTTGCACGACCTATAAGCAAAGGACGTTTAAGCACCACAGTGGGTTCCCTTGGTGACTCTGGACAGCTTTCTATGGACAAAGAACGTTTAAACAATCCAACGTGTTCTCTTTCCGATTCTCGACAGCTTATGGCCAAAGAATGCTTTAACACTCCGGTGTGTTCTCTTTGTGACTCTGGACAGCCTACGGACGAAGAACATTTGGTAAATCCACGGAGTATAAAGATACTCCGTGTGTAAATCTTTACATCATGATAACTTGGCGATTTTTTGGCGACCAACCCTGCTACAGCAAACTGCTAGTTTTATTTTGGACGCCATTTTATTTTCACGAAGTAAAGGCATGTTAAAAAAACATCCCAGAATTGCACAAAAAATGGCATTGCGCACACTTTTGACTTTATCCATGTACACATCCACCTATTTTCACTTAAAAAGTCAAAGAAAATTGACAAAAATCCAATTCTTCTTACTCTTGTAAAAAGCGCCAAACAAATAAGTGGGCGATTCTGCACTTCAGCAGCGAAATTGTTTCTAAGTGCTTATTAGCTAAAATCACGACGGAAATTTTCCGGAAAATGTCACATCACATGTCTCATGATCTCTCATTTCTCTGAGACAAAATAATCTGTGATTCGAACTGTGTACTTCTCAGATTATCGCTAAAGTCCTAGCTAGTAACCTTTATCGCCTTACCAAAATGTCGCCAAACTACCTGTTACCATATTCTAAAGATTAGCCGAACATTTAAAAATGTGTTGTGCGTTTAGTAGTTTTAATTCTGTCACCCTGTACTGGGAAACAAGACAAGTTATGATTGGAGTGTCAAAAGCCAGGCATATGTGGATAAACAAATAAATTTTCTGCAGCTGTAAAAAAATTTAAGATTAACATTGTCTGTTTGAGCGGAGTGTATAACAATAACAGCAGATGTAAAAGGCATCCCTCCACAGGAAGTATGACTGAATAATCACCGCAACCAAAGTGAAAAAAAGTATTGAACGAAGAGTTCATAAATTTACGATATTGTCTCCTTTGAAAGAAAATACCCGCAGACAAGTATAATGAGTATTTCTCAGAGATTTTCATTGAAAGGAATCGCGTATCGAAAGTTTCGCGTCGGGAGTGAAAGCAGCGTCGAACATTAATAGCCGCCTCAATTTCCATTTTCAAGGTGTGAGTTAAGGGTCACGCATTTGCTTCTGAAACGCTCACGAAGAGCCGTAAATCGTGACCCGGCTGCATCGTGACGACAGCAAAAGACCGATCGTGACTTCGGAAACACCCTCATAGGCGGTCAAGGCCGTTACACGTGAAGAACGGATTGCAAGCAACAAAATGTTCCTCTATACGGATTAATTTCATATAATCTGCGGTATCTATCCTCTTAGCCTGATAGATCCATCGAAAAATGTCCTTCTATAGACTGCCTTATCTGATCATGCGCGACCAAAAATCAATAATACTTTTTATATTTATTTATATATTTAAAGCGATGTCACTTTTACCCGTTATTATAAGTCATGGAACAACCTAAAACCTTACAAGATATCATATTTACACCGGAAATAATCATAGCCTTTGCAAGTTGCTGGGCAAACCTCATCCTTCGCCTCTGGTTTCCCGCTATTTACCAGAACTAGCTTTGCAAAACAGCGTAAAATATACAAGTAGATGCTGTGCAACTATTTGGGACACTTGCCAGAAAGAAGTGCTTTCCAGACACACCTGTAAGATACTACTCTACGAAAGCACGAAAGATAAAAGTGTGCTATGAAGGAACTCATGTGTAGTGTTGTATGAGAAAGCAAAACACATGAAATGTGAACTCATGAATAGTGTTGTATGAGAAAGCAAAACACATGAAATGTGAACTCATGAATAGTGTTGTATGAGAAAGCAAAACACAACGGTAGATGCAGCGCAACCATTGTGACTCCTGCCAGAAATACTTTTTCAGGAAAATTACAAAATACATGGGTAGATATTATGCTCACACTGCAACGGGTGGCAAAAATCGTGTACATCCTCAGGGATTCGGACATCGTAAATGTTAGAGTTTGAATTATATATGATCAAAAACCAACAAGCTTCCAAAATATATTTATTTATTTAAAGCCACGATAATTAGGCAAAATATTTGCGCACTATTCAGAACCGGATTATGATTTTTAGAAGCACTAAGCATATAAAATAATTCGGCGTCCTCACAGACATTTACGCCAGTCACAATGTCCAGTCAGTTCACGGGTATAGTATTTTGGATCTGATGATACGTAACTGTATGAATTAGTAAACAGTAATGGAACATTTCCTACAGTACTTATGCGTTTTTACGTGCGTGCAGGTTCGTAACGGAATGAATGCACACAGAGCCGAAGAAAGTTTGGTGTAATTTATTCTACCGAAAGAAACACTTTACAATTCTAGAGCTTTCCACAAAAATACACGTGCAGCTCTTCTCAGCATCTCAAAGTACAGTCACTGATTACCACTTCAAAACTACTAAGAAAGTTAAACACAACGCAATGCAAAGCGAATCTAAAGAGGGAAGCTCGCACGGAGATCTGACTCTGAACTAAAAACGGAGAAATGATCCTCTCTCCGGGCTTATAGAGGCAGCCGGATAATTTCCAGTACTCTCAATTTCTCGAAATTACTGGAAGGCATGTACATTTACATCTACATCTAAGGGCCGAATGCGGTTACAGTTATTCAATTACAGCATACCAGTTATAGTTATACAGGGACGGGACGAAAATGTTGCCAGATGGTCGCTAAGTTTGGTGATTTTTGAGAATTTTTTGCCATATTTGGCGACAAAAACTAGTCGCCAAACCATCGCCATCTTGGCGATATCTCGCCACTTTAGCAAGATAGCCATTTATCTCAATGTTAAATACACTTGCCCGTTTCCGATAGAGCTTCGCTTTTTCGAGACACTTCATATTATATTACACAAGTGATACTATAATTTTATTTATAATTTCACTAAAATTAATTACATATGTACAAAATTCGTAACAGGTTGAATAAATTACAAATATTTTATTTTGATTACTTGTTTATTTTCGTTTTGATAATCCGGATTTCTTAATCTTTTTAACCTAACTTCGCACAACGCGCAGTAACTGAAATGAGGAGAGAAATGATACTC